AGTCAGATAGAAATACCAAGGGTTCACACAAAACAAGGGGAGTCCGCTTTTACTGTAGCTATTATGCCGCCTGCAGCAGGAACCAGCTTCCAGAAGAGATCAGATGTCCTAAAACATTAGCCACATTTAAATGCAGACTCAAAACTCATCTGTTTAGCTGTGCATTTATTGAATGAGCACTGTGCTACATCCAAACTGATTGCACTGTATTTTATATATAATCATTTCCTATTTTTAACTTTTAAATTAATTTTAGATCAATTTTTAAATCATTTTAAAAGTTTTTAAATTCCTTGTTTTATTGTTGTGATTATTTTTTATGATTATTTTACTTCCTTTTATGTAAAGCACTTTGAATTACAATTGTGTATGAAATGTGCTATATAAATAAACTTGCCTCGCCTTGCCTTAGTTTAAAAAAAAAAAACGTATTTAATCGCCCAAATAATCCACACATAAGTACATAAATGTATAAATAGCTAAACTTTTTGAAGGTTAATGCACACACATCCCTCCCCTTTCATAAGATGCATGATTGTATTTTGACGCATTCACACAAATAGAGCAGACAGGATGCACCCACACATGACACATATACACATAAATAACATCATAATGCATGCTTGCCTTTTTATATTTATATTGAAACCTCTCTGTTACTATGGAGAGCGGTTTGCGTGCCCAGTTTAGAGGGAGGCAGTGTGAAGCTGCAGTCACAGTTCATCAGAATGATGGTGGACAGACTGTCTCCTCACTGACATCCTCTCAAATAAATCCACTGACACTCATCAACTCCAATTATGAGCCACAGAGGCAAGTTTCCTGTGTGACCATCATGTCAGCTTCTGCATGAGGCAACGTCTGAGGACTGAGTGCAGATGCTGGGGTTTAGCAGTGTCCAGGTAGCTTGATGACAGATGTGTTTCCATGAATAAATATGGATGAGTGGACAGACCATAAAATCTGTTAACACTGAAACTGCATTTTTTATGAGCGTGTGTAAAGTGTGTTCTCTGTAACTTCCTGTAATTACTCACTAACGTCCTTTTTTGATGAAGAATTATTTCCAAAGGTACCTTTAATGTGCTTGATCTTATTTCACAGTGGCCAAATGTAGATCACTTTGATACAACTGCTGCCAGTAGTTCGGTTTAAATCAAAGATTTACTTCAATACAAACTAGGCCAAAGAATAAAATATGGGGGAAAACAAGCCATTGAAGCATCTCTTCTTTTACAATTTATATTTTTGTTTAACCGTTTTTTTTTTCATTAAAAACAATATAATTAATTTTTTGATTAAAACGTTTGAAAAATTGTTATTCATATTTTTTTTTTTTCATTTAATGCATTTTTAATATAAGACAGTTGGACATAAATCTTTATATATATCCTTTATAAATCCTATATAAATCCTTTGGACTGTTTTATGGTCTGAGTCCTGATCTTTTCACTTACTATTATGTCAGTTTATACATCCATTTAGCCATTCATGCGGTCTAGAGAAATCAAGTCAATATGAAATTAACATGCTCCAACCTGTTGCTATGGTTACAGTTGCTAATGACTGACAGGATGACCTTTTCTGGTCTGGGTTTATGAGTTACACAAAGACCCAGTATCAACTCTATTAATGTGGCTCATGCTGTGAGAAGCAGCGAGCTGTAATCTGTGATGCTTCATTTCCTGTGCTGCTGCTGCACTGACTGCAGACAGAGGCCCTCCTGGACACACAATCCACTATCTGATGTTCAGACTAATAATATGATTAAACAATACAAATAATACTATGCATTCGTCAAGATAACAGGCCGAGTGTCCATCACCGTTTCTCAAGCTTCGGACCCAGTTATGTAATGACCAGTGTATGAAGTCCTACAGCTTCACAGCCTCACATTGCATGCCTTCAAATCATTGAATGTACAAAATTAAGCTATTTCAGAGAATGGAGCGACTGATGGATCAGCCCGTGTTGTATTTTTGCGGAAATGAAGCTAAATTATGATATTCCCTCCCTTGTTGCTCATTCTTTATTGGCTCAATAAGGAAGATCCGCGCATCCATCCGTCAGTTTACACACTTGCTCTGCCTAGAAAACAGCTACGAACCATCGGAAACGACTCGGAAGGGAGACACTGACTTCTTATCAGCGCGCTTTTAATAGGGACTAATATTGACATGGCGCGCGCTTCGTCTCGCCCTTTCCCTACG